AATGTCCAACCAGGCTGGTGTTGATCCATAAAGTTCCTGTCAGTGTCTATCTATGGATGGATCCATGGTTCTACTAGAATCCAGTCTCTGGTCACATTTCACCAACTGTTGAGGCTCTAACATCAGCAGAACCTGATGTGGTGAAGTTGGACCAGACAAGGTTCCAGGTTTTAGATGTTCAGACTAAATGTTGACGTGGATCATTGGTAGGAACCAGAACCTGGAGTTCAGAGGTTCCAGATGTTGGTTTTCTATGTTACAAACTGCTTCATGTCGATTCAGAGAAGCTGCTGGTAATTCATTCAGAACTCTAAAAGCTTTAACTCTAATAAATATTGTTCATCCAGCACAGAAACTTAGAACGATTGTTCCATTTGAGCTCCTTAAAGCTGAAACAACATGTCTCGTCGGGGTTTCTCTCAGACTTCCTCCTCTGTGGATGTTCATGTGGACGAGGCGACGCTGAGCTGCTCCACTTGGTGTCAGCAGAGCTTCCTGTGGACCAACCGGCTGACTAAAGAGCCTGCAGACATCATCGGGATTGAAGCTCCCGACGGCCACAGAGGTGCAATAAAATCTGCTTTAAGCACCTCGCTGTGTCTCGCTCGCAGTTTTTATCCTGTTGGTGTTGATTCACAAGAGCTTGGAGCACACGTGCATAGAAACAGGAGTGAAGAAACGAGCTCAGAGACCGAAGACGACGACAAAACAACCGTAAAAACTCACGTTTCCATCGTCAGGCTTCAGACTCTTGGTCCATCGTTACTGATCACAAGTTGTTTGTATTAAAAGCCAGTTTTTATTGCTGCTCTGACTTTGTCTCGTGGTCTCGTTTCTACGCCTGTGATTATAAAGAGTCGGACGCACGCCGTCGTCCAGGTTCTGGAGGTCACAGACACAGAACGTGAAGCCAACGCGGTTCTGTTCAGTTCTGTTCGGTTCTGCTGAAGGAGGACGTTGGGCGCTGACGTGTTGGTTTATGTGTGAATTTAATGACTAATGAAGGTTTGACAGGTCGTTAGCAGCCATCAGACGGTTTGTGGTGATTAATTAATAAATGATCGGTTTGTCAGAGGCTGAACTTTGTTCCACTCTGCTGGTTCTCAGCCGGTCCAGATTCTCCAGAACTATTTATAAACGCTGCTGTTTGTTATCAGGCTGGAGGTGTGACGTTCAGCACGGTGTGTGTGTG